CTCCCATATATAGTGAGGAGACCTGCCAGGCGTTGCTCACACGCGCACGCGATGACACGGAAGGCAATATCTCCTTGTCTCGAGGTTAGCGCACGAGCGAGCCGAGCCACGAATGAGAGAGATGGACGAATATATCCCCTATCCCGCACACATAGGCCTTCCGTTTTTGGTTAACTCTATTGCCTAATGGATGTAAAGCGTATGCGGATTTTCTTTTCTCAAAGCATATATACGTATATAGAAGAAATTGAGAAAAAAGTCGAACTTACGAATGTATATATCTATATATCGAGCGCCACACTATACCTGTGTGTGTGATGTCGGCGATAGAAAGAGCTTTTCAAAAGAAGAGAGTCTGGGTGAAATAAAGAAAAAGGCGCCTGTGTGCGCAGCCTAGCTGCTGCTAGCTATGGGGAGGGCTTTGCGCGAAAATGAGGATTATGCTCTCGACTGAAGAGCGTAATGCATCCAAAGCAGTAGTGGCGGCGGCCCCCACACGCGCTGCTCCTCTAACATTGCACCTTGAGAAAGTGCAATTTTTATAAAGCCGCGAGCGCGCACATGCATGCGCCAACTCAGCTGCCGCTATACCGCCGCAGCTGCGTACGTAGCATATACGTGGGCGTGCTATACCGTCTCTTGATATACTAACAGAGAGAAAGATAGTCTGTATGTGTATGTGTGTGTGTGTGTAGGTGCGCGCGCGCGGGATCATGGTGGATTTCTTTTGAATGAATTGCTGAAAATCCGCTGGATATATATTATCCTCCGTGTATCTAGTTTTTTTCTCTCTCGTCTCCTCGCGGCGCGTTTAGTCTGATCGTAAAAAGTACTATATACGTAATACATTACGAATGTTTCATACATGCGAGTGTATCTCCTGCTCTCTTTTCTTGAAGAATTGAAAATTCAAAATTGCAAAGAAAAAAGCTGCAGCACACCGAGCGTCATCGTCGCAGTGTGTATGTATGTACCTAAACACGTGAACTCGACTGTTCTGGAAAAACGGGAAGTTCCCTCCTAAACGTGTCGTTCGCAGATATGCTATTTACACATTGGTACACAAGGAAAAATCCGAAGATTGCCTGTCCTCCGGGCGAAAAAAAGAGAGGAGGAGGAGGACTCGACGTGTGACAATTTCGTTCTCCTCGACGACGACGACGTGTGGAAGAAGTTACTCACCGATATATAAACCTGTCGCCTTTGGACTAGTACAGTTGGCTTGGCATATATACTCACGCCGAGTAGGTCTCGCGAGCGATTAATCAGCCGAGTATATTTTCCGTGAAATTTAAACGTATATAGGACTCTGAGCACAGCAAGTGCGCCCTGGTGGCGCGCGAAGCAGCCAAGTGCATAAAGCGCAGTAGTATAGTAGCAGATGTTTACATGCCCGATGCATGTATAATATATAACACGCGCAAGTGAGCTAATTTCTCCCTCCCTGTCTCTCTCGCTTACACACTCGGAGGAGCGATGACTCGAAATGCGCCAGTTTCTCTCGCATTAAGGGAGGAGAAAATGGAGAGAGAGAGAGAGGGGGTGGATCTCTCGCGAGTATAAATAGCAAAGCGAACGAGCGATCTTCGAAGTTTGATGGAGGTATTCCTGCTAACTTTAGAGGGACGCACTATACTCGATCGTTTCCATCTTATATCTATGTATATTATATAGGATGGTGTGGAGCTTTGGCTGAGCTGGTATACATATCGCTTGCACACGGATTCATTGCGGCTTCTCGAACCTGACAGGAGCAAATGACTAATTTCATCTAAATGTTATAAAGGATTGTGTATCAACGCGAGGGAAATCCTCGAAACGAGGAACTTGCTGCCTTCGCAGGATAATCCACTCGATACGAGACTAAGCTCGCGCTTGTGCTTATAGCGCACACACAGAAGGGCGAAAGATTGCCGCCTCGTGCGCTCAGTGAATCGTTACTAATTTTTTAATCCATAAAATCAACTCTATATCCGGCCTTTCATTGGACGCCTCGTATATAGTAGATAGCAGCTATAAACCACGGCAGCAATTATACATACTTGTTATTAATACAGAGCAGATCGCGGGAGAAGAAGCCGCATATTATACGCACGAAGTCGACGAGAATCTCGTAAATCTTTCACGTCACACGTACTTCGTCGTCGTCGTGCTCGACAGAGCTATGCTGCTGCTTCTATTGCAATGAAAAATTTCTACATCTGGTGCTGCACAGCCAACTGTGCGATGATGCGAGCACGCAGCAGCATTACGTATAATATGACGAAAGAGAAGTAGAGAATCTTAAGGATTGGTTATGTATAAGTCTCTCGCTGCTGCTGTATGCATACATGTTATTGTGTGCGTGTGTGTATGTGTGTGTGTGTGTGTGTGTGTGTGTGTGTGTGTGTGTGTGTGTGTGTGTGTGCGACGACTGTGCAGCGGCGAATGGAAATCGGATTTTACGGGAAATTGAAGAAGGTTCTTGGATGACAGCCAGTCGTCGAGGAGAGCGAGAGTGAGCTCTATGCTAATGGCAAACTACGCGCGGCGCACATATGCTATGGATATTTCGCTCTCCTTGAGACATCTACACACGCGAGCTCGTGTATAAGAGCATACGTTGATATTCCAAAGCCAGCATTAGAGGGATTTATTAATTTTTTTTGCAAAATAGTAGTGAACAAAATACGCTGCCGAAATTGTTTATACCTGTAAAAAATTAATACTTACTCATAAAAATATACGTTTCCAAGGATGGAAAAATATTATTTTTAATCCTATGGAAGAAACCATGGATGCGTGTACTTTTATTTGCTCGCTGCGATGAATGAAAGCCTCTGGCCTTGAGCATTTCTCAATATCGTATATTTCTACGAGGACGTCAAGAGAGAAAAAAAAGGAATCATAATACTCCGCGCATCGACTCCTTTTGTTCCTTGCTCGGTGGTTTATATTTTGCAATAAAATACATATCAAATTTTTTTTTCTTATAATATATATTCACCAAACCTCCCCCGTGGTAGCATAAACAGTCGCTTTTTTATGCAATGCAAAAAAACAAGGACGCGCGGCTAATGCACAGAGAGTAGAAAAGATGATTGCTCTTCTCTGCGTACGTGTGTGTGTATTAGTATAATACATATTTGGAATCTTCTATTATAGGTACATACATATTCTTTGAAAGTCTCTTTAGAAAATTTCAAAACTCCTTTATTGTTACTTTCGCCGTTTATAATACATGCTCGCACGCGTACGCTGCTGCTGCTGTTGCTACTGCCGCCCCTGCTGCTGTTGTGCATACGCGCGCGGGTATACACAAGCATAAATACACACACATATACACATGCAGCAAAAGATGATTTTCTTTCTCTACGTTTTGTGCTACTGTTGCTACCACTGCTCCACTACCTGCAGTAGATATTTTCCCTGCAGCTTCTCACTCGTGTTTTTTTTTCTATTCTGCCTCTATGCACAACAGTAGTAACATCACTTTTTCCATACATACTCATATATGGATAAAATTGTTCCGTGCTATATAATGTTCGTGAAGAATTCAGAGACGCTAAAAGCACTTTTGCACTGTGTGTGTATGTATTTGTGTGTGTACGTACTTGTGTGTGCACCATGCGCGCGCTGCGCAGGAAAAAAGTGATGCCTTGCACTAGCTCTTCGACTTTTCCTCTAGAAATGGAAAGAAAAAAAAGGAAGACGCTGCGTGGCAGCGGCAGCAGTACGAGAGAAAGAAGAAAAAAGAAGAGATTCTGAAATTTCCATATAGCCAGTTTGTGGAGAAAAGGAGGATCTCCGTTTCGCGACCGGCTTATTTTTCTATGCTCTCGCAGAAGAAGCAGTAGCAGCAGCACCAGACGCCAAAGTGTGTATATGCGTGTGAATAGAGAAGATGCATGGATATTTCGTCTCAAGTGCTACTATACACCCATCCCGTTGTTAATGCATAGAATGTCTGTTATGTGTGCCGCTGCTAATGCACACGCGTGCACAGCAGCAGCAGCAACAACGAAAAAAAAGAAACCTCGGGCTGAGTGTTGAACGTCGTGAAGATAGGGAGAGAAAAGTATAATTTGCACGAAAAATTCCCGAGTCAAGTGAAGAAAAGCGAGAGAAAAAAAGTTTTTAGACGAGATAAAGGCTCACCTTGTGTATATATGTATGCCACTCGTCGAAGACTTTTTTTGTTGAATACCTATTGACTTCAGAAGAATAAATAAGCAGCTTTTCTTCGAGGCAAGCTGTGAGAGCGCAAATAATTGTATTCTCTAGCTACCTCTATCTCGGGCGTAAAAGATTATCATGGCCAAAAAAAAGTTTTAATACTGTTAAAAGCCCAATTAATCAGTGGCATATCGTCGAGAGTACGGCACAAAATAATCATACAAAATCCAGGTACCGGCCGCGAATGAAAACATAATGAATTGTATATCGTGGCTGCGGAGTTTGAGCACCAGCGCCACCGCAGCACAGCAGCAGCAGCCGCGGTTAATATTTGGTAATAACACAAAAATAGTTCGCGAATGAATAATGAAGCGAGGTCGCTCATTCGGACGCTGTCGCTGCCGTTGCAGCGCAAGCTCGAAGACGCGAGAGTCGAGTAAAAATAAATTATATTCTTCGCGAGAAAGCAGCTGCTGCTGCAGCTGCTGTTGGCCCGTGAGCACGCGCGCCGCTTCACAATGAATATACGGTGTGTTTTTGTCTTCCGCTAATTCAGTTAAGGACAATTAAAAGTCCGAGTCGACGGATGGCTACGGCGGTGGCGCGCGCGCGCATGTCGAGGCACTAAGTACCAAGTATTTTAATTCGATTAAAACCTACCTCTTTCCATAAGCTCGAGGCTAGCTAGCCCCGACACACGCTGCTGCAGTTCATGGGCTGTTACGGCTGATGATAATCTTGATGATAAATAAATGTTTCAGTGAATCGCTATAGTATTGATGATTGGGTATGAATCATTGAATGAATTTGGAGTAACTCTGTTGGTTATTTTGCTTCATTTTCCGTATCAACACGTTTATTTTTTTTCATTAATAATACGATGACGTATGCAGTGTTTATAGATCTATTATTATCGTAAATACAGGTATATGGTCGTCGATTTTTTGTCGTTACATTTATTCAAGTTTTGTCGGAACATTTCATTTTTTTTCAAAAAACAACACACTTTTGCACCAGTTACATTACATAATATACACATTTTATGTACAACGAAGATCTCGATTTGGAACGCGCGCTCTTTCACGGCAGTGAGCCGAGTTGCTCAAGTAGTACAGATAAACGTGCGTTCAGCCATCGAAAATATTCAATAAAGACATCGTTAGATTTGATAAAATTTTCCAATCAGTAGGCATGCGCGAGTGCAACAATATTTATAGATTAAAAAAGATGACGATTTCGGCACGCGCTCGCTTGACACTGATATATACATCGTATAATTGTTTAACTTTATTCAATAGGAATTCCAAAACATGGCGATTATTGCATAATCGCGCCAATATATCGCACACTCTCGACAAAATGTATTTCTCTTCGTCACCTAATTTACAAACTTATTTTTTTTCTTTCAACTCTCTTAACCATTCGTGTATATTATTTATATTTATACATAAATTTCATGTGTATAATGCATATTATTAGGAGTTTCACTCGTTGGTATGACAAAGAAGAAAAGACATACGAGTATACACAAAAAAAAAAGAATAACTTACATACGCCTGAACTGGAAAAAAATCAAAAATCAAATAAACCTGTTATTCTTTCTCGCCATTTTTATACGTATTTCACAATATTCTTCGACCATATTCGACGCTGACATTTCGTATTTTTCCTCGTTCACTGTCTGTAGGGTGTGATAAATACAAAAACAGTGGGTCAGTGAGTTCTCTACGTAAAACGGCGAGCGAGCGAGCAAATAATGTATATAGCGTATAGAATCCGAGCGAGTACATATGAGCGAGAAAAAAAATTTGTTCCCTACCCCGAAAAGGTGCCAGAGATTGGTTCACTCAACGGGAAATTCCGTACCGAAAATATTCTCTTCTCTCTCTCTCTCTCTCTTTCTGTCCCTCCACCACCGTGCACAGTTTCACGGTCGCGTACCAAAATCTGCGAATCGTTAACGAGGCGCGTGCTCGAAATACCCAAAAAAGCTACGGCGAGCCCGCCGCGAACTTTAAAATGTACATTTGCGTATTACGAGAACGCGCGACGCACTGTTAACGATGAGGACATATACGTATATGCACAAACGTATACGTGCATGTATGATAAAAACACGAAAAATAGGTTTTGAAATGAGTTTACGCCCGCGCGCATACATAAACAAGGAGCAAAAAATTGATAAGGTTTCGGGAAACAAAAAATGTATTTCTTCTATTCTAGCGTATACACCGCAGTATTCGCGGAAAATTAAAAGTATAGAGTGAAATCGAAGTTCTGTTATTTCGTTCTCTTTCTTTTCCAATACATGATAGAGTCGCAATTGAGCGCACACCTAAACCTATCCGCTCAAAAAATACAAGGACACATTCAGACAAAAAAAAACCACTCGCACACATGAGTTAAGAAAAAAAGCTGCTGCTCTCAGCAATTTTTTCCAAACGTTTGTATAATATATATATGGTTTAATGGCACACTCGCATACTGCATACAGAAAAAATTTGTTATTTTTTTCTGTAATGATAAACTTTTTCTTCGTCGTTATTCGTTTCTTTTTTCTACAATACTCGTAAACATTATATGCATATACTTCATTTTTATATGTCAATATTCAATTCGTTTAACGCACTTTGGAAAAATATGTATGCTGTACAATGGATTTATATTACAATATAGCGATCGAAATGTGTCGCGCAGAACTTGGGATTTCGTTAATAATTATTATAATTCACTAGACACAATTGCCGTATCTTTCTTATTATCGTTATTTTCGTCAAAAATCCGATTTCCTTCTTATACAAGTCAATTTGTCCTATTTAACAATTCAAAAAACGGAAGCCAATTCACTAAATTATTACTTCGCTCAACAGTAAAATACGAATTGTCTCGAATATTCTCTTGTACAATGTATATCTATGCGATTTCTTTCTCTGGAGAAAGATCTCCTTATTTACAACGTACGAGTTAGGTATCATTATTGTTATTTACAAGGCTCACTCTCTCCCTTCTTACTTTCCGTGCTCCGTTTGTACCCCCATCCATGAATTCTCGTTCGTTTTCACTTTTCTGCTTCGCTTATGAGTGCAGAGGGTAGGGTGGAAGGGGTATATTAATTAAACCGAATGCAACCGAAGAGCTCTTAAACGAAGTATGTGTGTGTACTAATTATAAAAGTGCGCTGATATTCCGAACGTGTGTTCTTGCGCGCCGTACGCTATTTTTTCGCGCGCTCTGTATTTTCTTTTATTATTCAGTCAGCGCGACTCGACGAGCAAGCGCGCGCCGCTCGCGTTTCCTTTTCGAATGTGTCTATGCACGCTGTGTTAGCCCGCTAACTGTCGGGAATACAAATGAGCCGTGTCAACAAGTTTGACCGTTGTTGCTGCGCCGCTTTATAATCCTGCACATGTATATGGGCTGCTGGGTCGTTTGTCACACGTGAGGCATGCCCCGTGTGTGTGCCGCTGCAGCCGTACTTTTTCACGCGTATAAACTGTTTTACGATTTTCGCTCTATTGTCGCGCAGTTACGCGGACGCGCGCCCCCGTACACACACGTACATAAAGGAGATAGAAACAATTTTTCTGCTTCATTGGACTTTCATTTATTACGTATGGAAGTGAGCAAAATGACCGTTATATCGTATGTGTGTGTGTGTGTGTGTGTGTGTGTGTGTGTGTGTGTGTGTGTGCGTACGGGAAATCATATTGGTCATGAAAATTGCTCGCGAATTTCGGGGAGGACTTTTGTTTGACTTTTATTCGAGAGTACACGTTGATTGATTTTTCAACGTTCGAATTACGCGGCCCGTGTTCGCAGTAGTGTCCTTTTCCGTATTTTTGTACGTAACGGTAACGAGCTTTTCAAACCGTACAACTCGCTGCAACGATTAAAGAAAAGTAAAGTTCAAATTACGCACGGTCGTCGACGAATGAAAAAACATTCCACGCGCCCGAGAGATCCATACAGTGAATTACAATTCCTTGACCTACACAGCGTGCGCGAGAGAAACGAACGAGTTCATGAATGTGTACATACCTTGATAGCCGCTTCGAATAGAGATGTATATCGCAAAAACGTATCGTATATGTAACAACAACCTCTCTCCAATGCGCAAATGACGAGCGCTCTATAATAATAATCATTATAATTACGCACGAAAATTTGTCGACGCGATCAAACGTAATATTCGTTGACGTTGAGGGCGTCGGTATCCCTACCCTATACGCAGCTCTCTTGGCTCGATATCAGGGGCGTCCTCACGGTCACGACTTCTCGGGGATGGTGCTGCTTCATCAATTGCTCCTGACAGGGTGTGCCGACGCTGCTACCGTGTAGGCTGCTAGGCGTCGACGCCACGGAATTCAAATTGACGCCTCCTCGTTGCGACGTCGCGGTGTGATCGATGCTCGCGTAAATCGTCGCCTCCTTGGAGGGATAAGGCGGCGGCTTGGTCGTCGTGAAGCCGGCCAGACTGCTCAGGCCCAGCAGTTTGGTGCCGCCATCGCCGATTATTGGCGTCGGCGTTGACGTGCCATTCGTCTGGTGCTTCGTCGTCCCCGTCGTCGTAGTCGTCGTGAGGTTCGACGGCCGCGGCAGGCACAGCTCCGCGTACGTAATTTCCCCGCTCAACTGTTGACAGAGAATTGGAAAATAATTGAATTAAAACGTTGAAAATTGACAATTGATTCATTTATCCACGGTGTAATTTTGTCGTGTAACAGAATAACGTTGCAATGTCTGTTGATGAAATAATAGAATTGTAAACGCGTCTATTGTTTACGTCAACTGCAAGCACGATGCCCGCGTGTGCCAGCGATTGTCAATGACCTCTCGCTCACGCAAGCTTACCAAGATTTTACGATTAATCCATACGTAATATAACGTGATTTTGACGTAATACCGCAGCACATCCGTTTACAGATGTTTTACAAAGAATGCGTCATTAACAGACGGACTTTGGAAATATCAAACTAGCTATAAATTTTCATCGATATCGAATATACATCTTGACAATCGAATTGACATCGATAAATACGAGCTCTTTCGTTTTCTTTGAATATATAAAGTTCAAACACGAGTAAAAAATTACTTTCGTAAACTTATGCGAGCGCACGCGGAAACGTTGCGTATTTATGCTGAGCCGTTGCGCCGTGTATACATTTATAATACTCCGAGCGAGTAGTGGATATAGAAACGGGGAAATATACGAGCTTCTTACAGTTAAAATCACCATTTACTATAATAGACAAGCGCTATATACCCGAGTATATGCACGTTTTGCTTGGCAGCAGAAAAATGATCGTGGAGCTTTTATATTCTCGGCCAACACTGCGGAGAGAGAGAATTTCCCATCGAAGAAATAAAAAGTGGCGCGCGCGCGCATGGGATTTTATTTTTCAAGCTGTTGCATCTCTTCGTTTTCGTCAGACGCGTATGCGAGAGCATGAGCGTATATATAAGGCGTAATTCGATTTTTATCTTTGTCTCTTTTTCCGTTTCTCTCGCGATGAAATATATGGTATTTGCGCGGTGAGCCAAAAAATTTTTGAGACAAGTACTCGCGAGAATACGCATAAGGAATTGGACGCGATGAAAGACTAACCCAAAGTTTTTTGCCATAACCTGAGGCTAAAATATATACATATGCTGAAGAGCTAGAGAGAAAGAGAGAAAGATAGAGGCAGAGAGTTAGCGGGCTGTACACGCGGCATACGAAAGTCGAGCAAGTTTTCATCAAGTTAGAGAGGGAAAAAATTATTTTCAGTTCAAAGTAGACGCAGAACGTATGCGAGACTCGTGTATGTATACATGTATATTCAGTATAAGGATTTCAAGCCAAAACTGCCATTCTTTCTCAATGTTCTCTTCTTGCGACAGTTGTGCAGTATAAACATGCTTCCTTTTTTACCCTCTTTCTTACATGTGCATGTGTTCGGTGAGCGTAGGTGAATATAATATACACGAGTAGTAACGGTGGCGCATGTTTTACAGTGCATGATGTATTTTCTGTGTGTGTATGTGTGTGTGTGAGGGCGCGCGCGCCACAGTAGTAATGCAGCTGTGTTCCATTTTGCGAAAAAAACTTTCCTCTCTCTTTCTCTCTCTTTCTAGCAAAAGAGATGAAAAAATTTTTTTACTCCTGACATTTCCACAGATAGAATTTTTTCTACTACTTCTTTGTCTACCTATGTCGTCTTCTATGCACTCTCTCATGCTCGTAGTCTCTGTGTAAGCGTGTACGTGGGCACTGCAGTACATTACGTAAATATTTCACGAGTCGAGTGTTGGCCCATCGTAAAATTAATTCGATATACCCGGGTTTTACGATCTCGTTATTAATGACAGAAATATTTAGGGGGGCTTAATCAAAAGACTCGCTCGCCCCTGCCTTTATTCCGAAAACGCACGCGTGCATGGTACCCGCGCGCGCACTTCAGGTCGAGAGCGCGCGAAGCGACGAGCTTTAACGGTTTAATCTTTATTACGATCTGGCGTAATCATCTCTCTCGGAGGGCCTCGAATCAAATACACGCACGCCTCGCGCGAGAGAGAAGCACAATGGTGTGCTTATACGCGGCCAGTAGTATGTAGTTGTATAGCCGCGCGCGCTCGTTGCTTTCTGCGTTGCTATGGTTCGCTGTAAATTTTGAGAAGCTCGTTTAGGAACTAATTAAGCTCGAAGTTGGGGGG